CCCATTTACTTGCTCTCATTCTCTGTCCTTTTTTTTTTTTAATCATAAAATTGATGTTTTGCAAGCAGCGACATTAATGTGAGTTGTTTTTGGAGATGCTACAGGAAAGATTAGTGGTAGAATTAAGAATGGGTATAGCTGTGGAGGAACATTCATGACTAGACACCACAGCATTGACATAGCAAGACAGTGAAAGAGACACGTTAGGCCTGAAGGTCCTGGAAGAAAGTTAGGTGTAGAATTATAATACGTTTTTGGCTGATGTAAAATAGTGTTAATGGTACATGAACAAATTTTTCTTGGCTGATGTAAAATAGTGTTAATGGTACATGAACAAATTTTTCTTCAGAGGTTCTGTTCGGTAGAAAAATCTTCAAATTGACCCCAACATATAAAAGGGATACTCTTTTAAAATGCCTCTACCCACTAGTGGTGATTTCCAGGCAGTGCTCAAATCAGTGGGAATAATGTAGAACTGTTGATTTGCTCATATAATTACCTGACTCTTAGAAAATTGATTAGAGAATTTCTTAATTTATATACATTCCCATATTCGAAAAGGTAACCAAAGTAGGACTATTTTTGAAAATTATTAATAGTTAAGAAATTTTCTAGAACAGGAAAAAATACTGCCAACTTTCCTACTTCTCTCATATGATGTGCTATTTTCCTTTATGGTCCTTAACAAAACCTTTCCAATACAGTGGATGTAAATTTTAAGATATTCTTTCAGGGAATGAGGTATAAATGAAGAGTAGGACTCTGACAAACATTCTTTGCCTGTGAAAAGCCAAGTGAAGAACTTCTACCACTTGACTTTTAAGTTTTCATGCTGCTTGAGACTTTAGGCTCCAGTTGGGAAAGAAAATGGTGGCAGGAACTCCCTTATTTGTTATTAGGAAGCAAAAACATTTACAAAGGCAAGTGCAGGGCTGCTTCCCATTCTTGTTACAGCAGCTTGGAGCTGGCTTCAGGTCAGATTTTCTAGGCAATGGAGGAGATATTCCTTAAACAAATCTGTTAACATTTTACTCTTGCAGAGGGAACACAGTGCAACCTAGATGTAACCACACCAGTTTGTACTTTTGTCTGAAGTGGCTCTGTCTCAGCCGTCCCCAGGTAGGGGTGAGTAGGTAGGGTTCGGTCCCATCTTCCTAGCTGCAGCTGGCCATGCGTCCTCTTGCAGCTTTTACTCAGGCTGCTGTTTCCCACAAGACACCTCTCTTTGCAGAACACGAGGCTCCTGTTCATTGCTTTTCCTTCCTGAAGGTCCTGTAGTGTTAGCAATTGTTCGTCACATTTCACATGATGGTTGATTCCTGTATGGGTTACAGCCTTTCACTCTTTCATTACCTTTTCTCATTATGTCTGGGCTCAAATACAGGCATCCTTAGGGAAACTCTATCAGATGCGGTAGGATTCCATGTGTAAAGTGTCAGAACAGCGAGAACTTTATTATTCTGCTTACTAGTTCCATGTCACTCACATTGGCGTCATGCATGCAGCTGCCCTGCGGCCAGCCTGGTGGTGTTGGTGTGACCCAGCAAGTCTGACCTGGCTCACTCCCTTTTAGACCAGTGAACCCCGTGGTGTATTGGTTGTCAATAGGTTTACCAGTGATATTGTTACAGCTCCCCTATTTCAGAGATGTACTCATTTTGTGCTTGCTTGATTGACCTAGAAGTAAAATAGGAGATGGGCAGATGGGTGTTAAAATCTCTTATTGTGTTGGTGGATATGCCAGTTTTATTTCCTCTTGTCCTGTTTTATGTGCAGGTCTCTCTCTCTCTCTCTCCACACACACACACACACACACACACACACACACACACACACACACATGTATATACACATACACATACATATATATTTATGCAAGTTCACATTCTAAGAACATTTATATATTTACCAGTTTATAGATTTACTGGTACAGTATCATCAATTAGTTTTTTTTTAAGATTTATTTATGCATATAGAACTGGGGTACAGGCCAGAGGTACAGGGGTGGTGAGAGGATTCATCAGAGACAGTGAGGAGCAGGACAGGCAGATGAATGAAGAACACTGCTCAGGGGAGCAGTGGACAGGTTAGGATAGGTCTGCTGCACCATCTGGGTCACCTCGGGAGTGGGGATCAAACTCATGCTGAAGTGGCGTTAGCTTCTTAGTGCTGTGCTTTAACCTGCTGCACCACCAGGAGGATCCCTCATCAATTAGTTTTAAATGCTTTGCTTCCTTGGACCTGTGAGCCTGTGAGGGATCATGATTCCTCACTAATTTCTGTATCTGCTTTTATTTTCTTATTTCTCTTTGTGAATGAGGTGGAAGGTGAGTGGGAGTTGAGACTCTGACTCCAGAGCAGATTATTGCTGTGTTAGTTGAAACAGATATAACTACCTGTACATGATGTTGAAAAATTCAGGATTTTCAAATGGGTCAAGTTAATTAGATTTTTCCAGATATTGGAATGATTCTTTTTAGTATTATGTGGTATGTGCTGCCATCTCCGTAATCACATTTATTTCTTCTGAATCTCATATTTCCAATGTAGGAGACACTCCTGCATTTCACACTCTTATCACAGTTCAGCAGTTTATCCCACAGACTTGACTCTTTTGTTGTGCTAACTCTGAGCTGAAATTGTATGTTCTAGCTTCACCTGCTTAGGGGGAGCACAGTTCAGAAGTAACCCCCTAAAGCATGTGACTGACACACAGCTAGGGAGAGACCTTGACTATTACTTCAAACAGTAACTCTTGGCTTCACTAGGGGTTTTAGCAGATGGCTACCTAGTTTCTTAATCTGGGGTAGAAAGAGGAAACCAAGAGTAAAGAAGATGGTGCAAGGTCCAATGCTACCATGAGATGTCAGCGTGGCAGTTATAAATGCCCAGTGGCATCAGCCAAGGTAGACCAGCCTTACTTTGTCATATTTGAAAACATCGCTGCTTTTTGTCATTATCTGATAAAATCTACTGTGATGACCCTATGGTGTCATGAAAAAGTTTTAAGTTTTAATTTGTCTCGTATAAGCTCTAAGAAGGCAGGAACATTATGTTTGAAACAGTAAGCTATGTTTTGAGGGGTTTTGAGGAGGCACAGAAGATACATAAAATGGACAGCATGAAGGAAATGGGTCAGGGAGAAGGAATTGGGGAAGGGGATTTTAGAGGACAACTCTGAACTCCTCAATTACAGAGAGTGCCAGCTGGATGTGGGAAGGAGGCAGCCATCAGTCATGCTCTGTGTCTTTCCCAAAGCAGGAGGTGATGCTCTCACTCTCCCTCTGTGTGGCTGGGGTGCTTAGGTGTGAAAATATGTGATCGTACCTGATAAAGCCTCATTGAGTGTTGTGGTCATACGGTTGGTTGCTGTCCCTTCACTTTCCTCTACTCCCTTTACTTTTTGGCTTTTTATAAATATTTATGAATATCGCCCAAGTCATGCTGTGAACCAGACACTGGTAGGTGCTGAATGTGGCCTGGCAAGGGAAAAAACAATCTGATTTTTTGCTATCAAACTTCCTTGTCCTGTAAGATAAAAACATGTCTGCAGACACATAGAAATGACTATGAGAATTTTAATGAAAGTAAAGTGCATTCCAGGACATCTTTGAGAGATTAGGAAGGCTTCTCAGACAAAGTGGCTTCCAAGGTGAGACTTAACAGATAAAGAGGATTAGCCAGAGAAATGGGTAGGAAGAGGGATGGTTACTGTAGGCAAGTGGAAGAGGGTGGAAGGAAAAAGTGGGAAAAAGAGAAAATTCCAGGGATTCCTGATGGCCAGGACAGGAGTGTGAGAGATCAGATCCTGGGGGTGTTGGGAGCTAGGAGGATGAATTTCATTCTCAGGTCAATGAACGAGAAACCATTGAGAGGCTTTCCTCAGGGATGGGGTGATCATATTGGCATTTTAGAACTTTTACTTTCATAATTGCAATCAGAGGGCAAGGTTTGCAAGCATTGTCATTATCTAAATGGGATCTATAATGAAAAAAAAACTGCAGTGGAGATGGAGGAATCTAAATATAAGTGAGGTATAATTAGGGGATAGAGTCTTGTCTGAGAAGTCAAGGCTGCTCTCAGGTTTATGGTTTGGGTAAATGGGCACTAGTAAATGACAGAGAGAATATAGGAGGAAAAACTTGTCATGGGGATAGGGTAGGATAATGGACAGTCGAGTTTCAAAAAGGTCCATTTGTGTTGGGTAAGGGACATACACAAGTGGAAGGGCCACAAGATCTGACATTCAGAAGAGAAATATAGGCCGAGTGGAGAGTTAAGAGGAATCACACATACATAAAGGAGACCCAAAACTGTGAGAATGACTGAGATCACTCAGTAATAGTATGGACTGAGAAGAGAAGAAACCCATGGTAGAACCCTGAAGAGGGATGAGAAGCAAGAGAAATGAGAGAGAACACACAGGTGATTAGAGGGGGAGAAGCCAGGTCAGGGGTGTGTTGACATGGAAACCAAGAAAGAAGACATCCCCAAAGAAGGGAGGCAAAGCTAGATGAAGACCAAAAGGCATCTCTTGGCTGTATCCATGGGAAATCACTATATCTGACCAGAGAAACTTCTGGAAACAGGAACTAGAAACCAGATTGCATAGTATTAAGGAGAGAGTTGAAGAGATATGCAATGAGGTTAGGCCTCTGAAGGAAGTTTGCCTGCAGGAGAAATTAGAGTTTAGTTCTCATGCTAAAGATGTGTGTGGAGGGGAGTATGTAAAAATTATGGGAGCCTTGGATATGCTTGAATGTTGATGGAAAGTATCAACTAGAAAAACTGAGGCTGAAGTTTTGGGAGATGTGGTGATAACTAAGTTAGCAGGGTCATGAGAGAAGGGACTGGGATCTGTCTGATGCAGAGATGACCTGAGGCAATTAAGGAATCGTCTCGTTCCATTATGTTGGAAGGGAAGGAGAAAACAGTTGAGGTGAAAGCATTGTTTTATAACATAATCGTTTAATTATATTTTTAAAAATGCTTTTCCACAGACACTACCCAAAGCAGTCCTTCACTACTGTGGCAGACACACCTGAAAATCTTCGCCTGAAGCAGCAAAGTGAATTGCAGAGTCAGGTAATTTTTAGAAGTTCTATTTTTGTCATATTGACATTAAATATTACTCACAAGGCCCCCTTTCTATGCTTTTGACATTGTACTGTGGATGTCAGGTCACTGGCCATTCTGGACATTGAAAGCAGTCCTGAGTGGGCATTCGGGGCAAAGTAAGAACATCTGTTTTATTACTGGCCTTGGATCGTCCTGATATTCTTGGTTCTGTTATTCACATGGGACTAGGGCAAGTAAATGAGTTCTGGTCAGAGTTAGTGTTTCCCTACAATATTGATTTATTTGGTCCTAAATATTTAAAAACATTTTATAAATAGCTTTTCCACACTGCATATGTAGGGGAAAAAAGAGGTGTTAACTTGACCCAGTTGCCGTGCGTGTGGGGCTAACACCCTGTCTGTGTATCTCACACCAGCCCCTAGCTTTGTTTTCATCCTGTCACTTTATTCATATTTCTTTCATATGTCATGCTGACAGCATGAACAAAGATTAGAACACCACAGTTGGCTCCTCGTCAACCATTTTGGATGGGAAATTGCCTTCAATATGGTGAAGCACACTGGTTAAGACTGCTGATTTCAATGGCAGTGTTTTCTGCAAGGGCCGTCCAATCTCTTTTTAAGAGATATGGGCGCTCTTGTTCAGGAAGTTATCTTGCCTGCCACCTTTAGGAAGATGGTCAACAACTGCTTTGCAGCCCTTTGGTCAAGAGTATAGTGAAACAATGCCAATGAGGGGTGCAGGGAAGATGTGTAATGGACCCCGTTCTGCTGTTTATTGTGACTTTGCACCAATCATTCTGATCCTTTGTGCTTATGTAATGTGAGACAGTCTTGTCTCCCTCTCTCGAGTGTAGTAGGGAATATCATATAAGTAGTTAGGTGTGAAAGCATTTTGAAAAGTTTAAAAAAATTCATATGACCATGAGATCCTTGTTGTTGTCATTATTATCCCTGACAATCCTTGATATGAAAAAGGGCGCAGTGCAAAAGAGGGGTGTAGTGACTATTCGTTGGAAAATGTCCATCCGTCGTAGCTAGTTATTCTTAATGAGAGCAGTAGCTCACAGTTGCGCTAGTTCTAATTATTCTTGTGCAAGTTTATCTGGTCAGGGGAGATTATTGTTCTCTCCATCCTCTTCCTGGCCTTGGGACCACTTCTCAGTCCGTTTAATTAGAGGACATAGAACTCAAAGTAGAGTTTACTATTGGCTAACGTTGCCACCAAGACCTGGTTTTCTTTGGTTTATGTAAAATGCTAATTTTTGTGTGCTGAGCCATTAATTCAAGAAGTTGAGTGCTGGCCAAAGAGAGGCATTGTTGCAGAGCAGACAAGAACACCCTTGCTCATTCACACTGAGGAGGGTGCCAGGACTTGGCTCCAGTCCGTGCGGATCCAATATGCCTTTCTCTCCATCCAGTTAGGATTAATTGGATAATTCTGGAGAAGTACTTTGAGCACATTGGAAAACAGACCTAAATCAGGCAATCAAATATTTGTTTCCTGTCTATTACATGTCCTTGTTCTGTGCAATAAAATTTATAATGAGTTAATCTGCCTTCACAGAGCTGATAGGGTGTCTGAGGAAACTGGACTAACACACACATTTAATTTACCTGAGCATCCACATTTAATTTACCATAAGGATTGAGATGGGGGTGGGGGAGTGGGGTAGGTGGATGTGGGTTGGTCTGGTTAGTGCTTTGTCTGGTGGGGGGACTTGAGTGGAGCCTTGAAGGCTGAGAAAGGATCTGATAGATACACATGTCTCCTTCCTTTGGAAGACCCATTGCTGCTTTTGGGTTCAGTTAGTGGTTATAGTGGCTGTTGGCTAGGCCTGGGAATAAGCATTTTGCCATAGGGCTTGATTATAGAAATGCAAACAGAATCCACTTTTTCCCCCCTTGCAGACTGATTTTATTCTGTCATCCAGTGATCTCCAAGCTTCAGAAGGTAGCAAACACAAATAGCAATAGGTTGGTGGAATAAGAGCTGATAGAGATGTATTCCAACATCTGGGTAAATGTATTAGATTTAAAAAAAGATTTTCAAATGCCATTTCTTCTAGAAAGAAAATATAAGACTTTATCAGACAGACAGAGGAGGGGAAATTCAAGTCAATTTAAGAAACATGAATTGACTATGAGCTCCATATAATGATATTGGGGATGTAAAGGCGTCATCATCATCACTAAACTTTCTATCTACCGGGCACATAACTTTCTTATTTTTAAAGATTTATTTATGTATACATACAAAAACTGGGGTATAGGCCAGACGTGTGAGGGTTGTGGGGGTGAAAGGATTCACCAGAGACAGATTGGGGAGCAGAATAGGCAGACTAACTGAAATACACTGCTGAGGGGAGCAGTGGGTGAGACAGGAGGGGTCTGTTGCACCATGTGGGTCAGCTCCCTGGCTGGGGATGAAGCTCGTGCTGCAGTGGTTGTCGATAGCTTTATAGTTCTGCACTTTAACTCCAGGGAGTTAAAGTGCACTAATATACCAGGGAGGCCCTGCATATAATTTTATATGTGTTTCATTTAACCTCAAACACCTCTGTGAGTGTGCCATTTGTTATTATTTCTGTTTAAACAAAGCTCTCAATGATTATAGAATATAATTAATGCAAATTCAGTGGATAAAGTGTTTATCCTGGACAAGAACCTAGATCTGTGAATTTCCCACTGTGCCTTCGTCATTTTTTCTTACAAAGTACCCGGAAAAGGATGTTGTAATCAAAACATAAGGTGATAGCACAGTATATATAAAGGTTGAATTTTGCATAAACTGCAAAAGTCAAAGATAGGAAGTAGTTGTCGTCATCATTATTACTATTTTCCTGGATGAGAGGTGAAATCAATTCTGTAAAAGCATTTTTATTTTTGTAAGGCATGAAATAATATCTATCCTAATAGTAAAATTCTCTTTACTTTTAGCATATTAAATGATTTACTTTTAGCATATTAAATGATTTGATTCTATATGGAACATTTCCTTAGAGTTTTGGTGTCAAGTATTCTGACCAAGAGTTTTGGTAGAAAATCAACTTCATGTCTTATATATCTATTTCGATAATTTGTAATGGTGTTTAATGAGGCAAGTCTGGTCCTAACTCCAAGTTTTCAAGTTCTGAAAATTTTAGGATTGTTTGGTTCAAACTGATTCTTTTCTTTCAACTCTTTAACTTACCAAATGAGCCAAAATCAAGGGAAAAAGAATTTTCAACCTGGGAAATCTGTAGTTGCATATTGTTATCTTTTCCTTTTTTTGATGAGTGTTATAAACACTGCCACCCTTTTTTTTTTTGGCCTAAGTGTTAGATCCTCTCACATACTTTTGGAGATCTTTATTAGGTGCCAGATTGTTCTAATAAAGTGATATGAAATACCCTAGAATAAACAAAGGGACACAAGTTAGCTTTTTGGAAATGGTGAAAGGCAGCAGCTTACAGGCATCCCCTGGCTTGCAGAGTTCTGCAGAGCCCGGCGGCCAGCTAGTGCCCGCCTGCGACTGCTGGCCCACTGCTCTCCTGTAGTCAAAAGGGGAAAGGGGGAGCTCTTCTGTCACCACCACCCCCCTTTCCATCATTTAACACAGGATGAAGTGCTTCAAAGAAATAACATTAAAGGTTGGCTCAGCATCCTCACTGGTCCACAGTAGCCCATTCAACAAAGAGCAGAGGTAAAATTTTATTTCCAGTGGTATTAGTAACATTATACTTTGCCCAAGGAGCGTCGGACTTTCGTGCTTGCCTTCGAACAGGCATATTATCATTTTTCTTTGGTAGGAACATGAGCCTTGACTTCCAAAGCCCTGACTTCCAAATAAAACTTCTGGAACACAAACTCTTTGTCAACTGGGGAATCCCTACACTTAAAAAATGTAAGTGAAATGAAAAGTTCTTTTGAGAGAGTTTTCTTAACTTAGTATTTCAACATTATGTTGTACAAAGTCCTTGCCTTTCAGACTGTGTAACACTCTTTTATTGGAAATAAAGCTACAGATGTTTTGAGTCCTCCGGACCAGGGATCTGTAGACTTCATAAAGCCATGGAAATGATTCTTCAAGTGGAATTTTGAGGGGAAGCTACCGTTGCAAAAAGATTAAAGTGGGACTGTTATGGCTGAGGCAAAAGTGGGGCCAGGGATACCCCATGTTTCTCTGTGTTCCCCTTTTTCTCATCCTACTCTCAGGACCTTGGATGCACGGGTGGGTTCTGATAGTAGTGGTCAAAACGAACATGAGATGTTAGCTGTGTCCATACTTGGTTGTTTATGTGTCTGGCTTGACTGTTTGCGAGCATGCTGAAAATGACAGATACTTTGGGTTCACCGTGTTCTTAAATGACACACATGTAATTTATGACTGCTGATAAAATGGAAGATTGCAAATGATTATGGGTAGAATATGGATCATTCCGGAACCCTAGAGTCATTTTGTCATCTACATTGATTCTTTTAAAAATCTTCCACATTCACATCTGGAGAGGCATCAACTTAGGCCCTCAAATTGTATATGGTGTTGTAAACCAACATTAACCTCAATAAAAAATACAATAAAAAATCTATGTTTCTGTGGAGGCGTAAAGAACATGGCTCAGAGTGAATACAATATAGGGCAGCAGTAAGGGTGAGAAGGTAACATGGATTTAATGGGAACATAACAGTTAAACGTCTTCATGGAAGAAATGAAGGCACATGTTTAATATCCTCTGTGCGCCCTACAAGGTATTGTTGTGGTATTCCAGTTCTTTCTCTGGCACCTTGCTGTAGCTCTTCATTGTACATTCCGTTTCTGGAGGGCCTTCCTTTCAGTTATCTGTCATCCAACCATATAGTCAGGTGTTAAATAATTTCGCAAAGCAGGACCCCTCTCAGGCAACAGTTACATTTTAACAGGGTGTCACTGAAGACTGACTCCCTTCAAAGCAGCTAATCCCTGACTGGGAAACCTTAGTAATTGTCAGAATGATCCGAGAGCGATTTAGCTAACATCCTTTGCCT